ATTAAAGATGTAAGGTTACTGAATTTTCAATCGCAAGAAGTGCAGCAGCTAAAGAATATAATTAATAATTAATTGACACAACCTAGTTAAGGAAATAATATCAGCACCGGCTCACGCAATTGATCATAGATACCTGAATTGATTCACATGTTCGTAAGTAAATTTGTTCAAGCAATTCAACAACCGCCAAACTATCAATCTCTCCTTAATTATATGGTAGTCCAGAGACGCTCTTAAACTACTCCCTTGTAAAATAGATAACCCCAGAGACGCTTTTAGGGTTTAATCTATTCTCAACTTTAGGAATTAGAGAGACCCAATTCAAGTTAACAAAACACATGTAGGTTCATTTGAACTAGATTAACTATTCCTACAACATAGATTAAACTACTTGCGAGGCAATGAAATTGTGCCGTTTGCCACTAATTTTAAGACGATCAAATGATATGCACTACCATCTTAATTGGCAATGTACTATTCAGACAATTGAATAATTGGTCACATTAATCCAATAGATCCAAACAATAATAACAACCTATTAAAATAAGGAATAATTAAATACCCACGAACACAGAATTTAAAATAGCGCAGAAAGATTGAAAGAATCTCACAATTGTCCATGCAACCGGGCCATGATTATCTCTTAACTAGATAAAGGAATCTAGCATTACCTCGTGATGATGATGCAATCCGAGGCTTCAATGTAATTTAGTTGATGAAAAAGTACAGCCGCTAATCTCTAACTCACGTCAAGAAGAAGAGAAAAAAGATAAAAGATAAAAAAACTACTAGTCTGTTGCTCTCTTTTTTAAAGTTTCTCCGCCGCCGCCCCCTTTAGCCAAATACGTGTTTGTATTTATATGGAATATCTTTCCTTATTTTTCTCCTTGATTTGTTGCCAAAATATTCTCTGAAAATGTCTCCTAATCCCACGCAACATCAAACACATCTCCCCAAAAATAGTGGCAAGCTTCCAGGGATACGTATCGCGATCCGTCTTTTCGGACTTCACTCTGCGGTCTCTGGCGTGGGCACATTTTGGAATGAATAATCTTCTGGAAATTTGCTCCTTTTTGCCACTTTTGACACCAATTGCCTGCAAATGACACAAATACCAATTATGAGTATAAATCCATTACTTTGCATAATAAGTGGCCAAAATTAAGAGCAATTACCATCAAATAAAATGCATAATTGTCTCACTATCAGGATCTTTCTCTTGACAAAGTAAAATTTACTCGAGTAATGCCAGTAATTCAATATTTAAGAACATAATCATTAAAACTTTCCATCCTGATAATCTCATAGCATCGGCTCTTCCTTATATATTTATTTATTTTTAAATGTTTTAGATGAGGATGGTAAGTTGTTGAATGTTTCGGATAAAGTTATTAAACATGGAGATATAAATGTCGGAGATATATATGTTTACTTCCAATTGTAGGATAATTAGCCACATCTAATTGAGCTTGGTTCCCCTACCTCCCCCCCCCCCCCCAAAAAATATATCGAGGACACTTCACCTTAGCAGTCAGGGTATAAGGAATATTTTAAAACTGAGAAAAGTTTGTTAATAACATATTTGGGGGCCAAATTTGTTTTAATTTAAACATTAGGGACAGTTTGGCACACTAGCCAAATATTGAGGATTAACACTGTATTCTTTCGTTTATTTCATTTCATGAGTTTGGTTTGAACACCATCAGTACTTAGAGGGGTAAATGCAGGTTGGTCAACCGACACGTTCATTTTTTGTTATTTAACCAGAAGATAAACATAATTAACCCATTTATACCACAGACTAGATTCACACAAGAATTTCCAGTCAACTGCCTTCCTTTCATATGGAAAGACTGCACTAATATATTCTTTCGTTGGGCTGGCATCCATCTTGGTTGGAAGCAAACACACGGAAATGAGTGAATAGATCCAATTCTTGACTCTGGAGCCCAAGGACTTAGACCGGAGTAGTTCTTGACCGAAACTTGTATTTCGACACACTGAATGCCTTAAAGGTCGGACAAAATTGGGTGCGTCTTAGCGAGACAATGAATGCCTTAGACTCGTGCAGGCCCATAGAGGATTAGGACACTTTTGGATGAGGGGCAGGAGCGGTCATTAAATGGACCGCTCCTGAGCTGTTCACGGCTAAGATTTGGTCCAAAAAAATTGTACGATTTAGATTATTCTTGTACCTCATTTTTAATAACGCGTATGGGGTCCACAAAAACTTATTCTAAAGTTACACGTTATGCAAACAAAATTACGCCGTGTACAAACAAAGTTATGCGGTGTGCAAAATGCACAAAACCGCTCCCGTGGTCCGGACACTTCTCTACATCTTCTCTTCTTTTATCCTTCAAATTTTCAGACACTTAATAATTTTAGTTTGGCTTGGAGTAGTATCCTTTTCATCATTCTTGGAACATTGTTATACTCAAAATTCAATTTTGCCACATAGAATGCCAAAGCAGCGGAATTGCTTGCAACATCAATTACTCTACAAAACACTCAACAGCGAAATTTGAACCAAATACATAAAAAGCTAGTCTAAGGAAATTTGAATCGTAGTTAATAAATCCAACCCAAAACTCGACCCAGAGAAATGACCGAGCCACCGGATTGATGGTTAACTGCGAGTTACATATTAATTATTTAATATAATATAATAATATATCTTAAATTATAAAAATAATAAAAATTTAAATTAGTGGCTCAACTGACGGTTCAACCAGTCATTTTTTTCCAATTCACCTGTTAAATTGCCGGGTCATTAATTAGTCAATGTATTTTTTGTTAGAACAATCTAATTAGTGATCCAATCCGATCCTACGACGGGCTCACCTGATTGACCAATTTGACTGCTGGATCGGGCCATGTTTTATAACTATGACCTTGACATTGCTTGTTACGTCAATTACTCTACAAAACACTCAACAGCTAAAGTTGAAGCAAATACATAAAAAGCTAGTCTAAGGAAATCTCGACGGCCAATCAGGGACCGAGAAGGTTAAATTTGAGAATGTAACTAAAAATATGACAGGATGATAAATGAGGATCTGTAATTTTTGGGAAGTAATTAGGCGTGTTTTTAATACTTGGGAGAAGGAGACTGTAATAATCTACAATCAAATGGTAAAATCTAACAAGATCTTATACTATAAATACAAAAATTAATTTAATTTGAGAGTATAGAAGTAAACCATCTGAAATACTTGTGTATTTTGGTAATTGTGAATTTAGCCAACACTACACAACTTTTTATCCCTCTATTTTGCTAGTTCATTGTTATTAGTGACTTAGAACCTACAAACGAGATTGTATTAAACCCATCAAGGTGGATCATTTATAAACCATAAGCACGTATATTTTCTAATACGCACACCTAGTAGATTTGAGACTGGGACCCCATGGTTCTTTGTCTAGGTAGCATCCTCAAGGTTGAATAGGTCTTGGTAAGGGTAGTGATTGTAATGTTACGTGATTATCACCAATAGACTAGGAAGTATACGCCAAAGTCAGAGTGACAAGACAAGCAATCTAGAATTTTCCATAACCATTATTACTACTATTTGGAATTAATCCGACGAAGTCCGAAGAGAGATAATAATCTTCCCCCGGTAGGCATTTATTCCTACCAAATAAAGTCTACCAAATAAAGTAAAGGACAACAAAACATCAGTATCAACCTAGAGAATTGGGCAGCAGGTCTTCATCAAGAAAGCACCTTCAGTGAATGTGGTCTTCATCAAGACAAGCTCCTTAAATTGTCCATAGCTACTGGGAAAGAACCCACTTGCGACCCACTCCCGGTCCAAGTTGACGTACAAAGCTCCCCCGCGTAGACAGGTGATTGCTGGCGACTGACGGATAGAAATGCATGCACCAGGTTGTCAATTAAGATGTGAAGATGTTATTTTAAAGAATCTCAATAAACGGGGTCAGCGTAGCTTTATTATTATTTTTTTACGTGAAAATCAGATTTAATTGATAAAGCATCAAACCATGATCAAGGAGAAAAATATAACTATGGGGTTGGCCTAGTGATTGGAGAAGATTTTTTAGGATTATTTCCATTCTCAGGATTAGGTTGAAAAAGATTTGAAAAGAAGTGAAATGATATATACATTAATTGATAAAGCATCAGAGCATATTCAAGTACAAAAATATAACCATCGGAGTTGGACCAATGATCAGAAAAGAGGTTTTAAGGTCTTTCCTATTGCCTGACAGTTATAGTGCAATAAGCACAGAAACAAAATTGATAGAAAACAAAATCCTAATTCCTATACAAGTACAAACTACTGTTTAAGGACAAGTATTGACTGAGGAAAATCCTTGCTCAATCTAAATTCATTGTGTTTTATGGTAGTCATAAGCTCTTTAGATATATATATAAAAGCATCTTTATCCCAGGTTTATCATTTAATTGGTGGGTTGGGTTACATTCCTTCAATACTAAATGAAGAGATAGAGAATATACTTAAAAAAGCTGCTACACACTTGTCAGCTTTGGGGTACAATAGTTGGCATTTTTGCCTAATTTCAAACTGTGCCAAAATAAAACCGCACGTCTCAAGATAGAGTCAAGGCGATAATATGCAGTTAGTTTCTGTTTTGCCATTAATTCACCAAATTGAGTAATAGATCTCCTATCAGTTAGTGTCTGTTTTGCCAGGGTAATATGTAGCAATCTGAAAGAAGAAAACAATAAAGTAGGGAACATATCAAAATGGAAACTTGGTGAACAGATGAGGAACTTCAATTTGACGAAGTCTCATCACTTCGTCATAGACGATGATAACAGCAATTTACCAATTCACACGTGTAAGACTTTACCAATTCCAAAGCTCTAATTTTCAACATTTTTACCTAAAAATCTTCACTTGATAATCCAGTTTTACAAAAGAAATACAACGACAATACGTTGTGGAAAAAAAAGTAAGTCAACCGCAATTATGCCTATATAAGTCCTGCCCAAAGTCACAATGTATGCTCATGTTCTATATTTATTTGGCTTTCGTCAAGTTTATTTACCTCTATAAGCAATGCAGAGAACTTATTTTCTTGTCCTCGGAGCCATAGTGTTGCATTTTGTCACAACTAGCTCAGCTAGCTTAAGTATTGCCAATAACCATAACAACAGTGCTAGTGATCTGAATGCTCTTCTTGTCTTCAAAGCAGCCATTTTCGATCCCCAAAGGATCATCCCAACCAACTGGTCCACTTCTACCTCTGTTTGCAACTGGATTGGTATCACTTGTAATGCTCGTCATCATAGAGTCGCAGCCATTGACCTTTCTTACATGGGAATTGCGGGAACGATGCCTCCACAATTGGGAAATCTTTCTTTTCTTGTCAGGTTGAATGTCATGAATAACAGCTTTCATGGACATCTTCCAACCGAGCTCTCTCGTCTGCGCCGATTGAAGTACATCAGCTTGGACGGTAATGCTTTTGAGGGCGAACTTCCGTCATGGTTGGGAGGTTTAACTGCACTCCGATACTTATCCTTCCGAGATAATGGATTTTCAGGTTCATTATCAGGCAGGCTCTCTAATTTCACAAAGTTAGAGACCATCAGGTTGGGTTACAACTTTTTGACCGGAAATCTTTCTGAAGAATTCAGCGCTCTACCGAAATTGAAACTTTTGGAAATTCAATATAACCAACTTGCAGGCCCTCTGCCACTGGCTCTGTTTAACCTCTCCTCATTGCAAGTTATTGGTTTTACGAGTAATAGCTTATCGGGTTACCTTCCAGCACACATCTGCAATTATCTCCCACAACTTCAAGGGCTTTACTTATCACGTAATAACTTTGAAGGTGAAATTCCATCAGGCATCGGAGAATGCTCAAGACTCCAAGTTTTATCCTTGTCTTCTAACAAATTCAGAGGGTATATACCAAAAGGAGTTTGGAATCTAACCACGCTTACACAAATATATTTGGGTGGGAACGACCTGACAGGTAAGCTACCAACTTCACTTTGTTTTGAAAAATTCTTGTATATTTCGAGCACCAATAGATCATAGCTTTAAATGCTTGTAGGGTTGTGAGTTTAGATGCATATGTGTGGAGAAACACTTAAACTTAATGTTTAAGTAGACTGGATATAAGCGATGATTCCTTCTTTTTGCATTCTTTGTTCATCAATGATTATATGAGGATGTTTGAAATACTTTCACATAGGTAATAATAGTTAAAAATTGGAGACATTAGCCAAGAACCCCATGGGGTGTGGTACTCTAACCTCTAACTGCCATGCTGTTAGAAATACGCAGCTAACCCCTTTGTACTTCAGATTGAAAGCTAAGATGATGAAATGCATACAAACTAACAGTTCTGTGCAAAAAGACAACACTATTAACATACATAACTTAAATTCATCCTTTTTTCTTAATTTTGTTTCTTACTTGAAAGTATTTCTAGTTTTGGCCCCATGCTGTACGTTATCTTTATTTATTTCAAACTGAATTGTTAGTTTGCAATGTTTTGATGTTTTTATTTGTCAACTTTTCATCTTTATTTTGTCAAAAAAAGAGTAAAAATTAGGGTTATTATCACTTTATTCCCTCAACGTTTGGTGTTATTATCAAGTTTCCCCTTAACGTTATCTTTTAGTTACTCCCTCCATCCCACTTTAATAGTCCTGTTTCCCTTTTTTGTCTGTCCCAAATTGTAGTCCACTTTCCAATTGAAGAATGTAATTGTATTTTAATTTTTCTAAAATACCCTTATTCAATGTAAGTTGTTGTTACTATAAACCTACCTCATTTAATGAGAGTTGATTCTTTTTTACCATCAATTCAAGTTCCCATAAAGTTGTACTCTAATTAATGTGAGGGTATTTTAGGAAAATAGTTACCTTATAAATTGATTGTTCCAACAAAATTAACTACTTTTTTTAAACAGTGTGAAAAAAAAAACTAGGACTATCGAAGTGGGATGGAGGGAGTATTTTACTCCCAAAACTAACGGTCAAACTTAACGGAGTTTATTAATCTAAGTGATAAGACATGTTTAACTTTTAAAATTATTATCATTTTACCCCCATAAACTATAACCTTATTATCAATTTATCTCATAGAGTTATTTTTTATGCAATTTATCCCACAATTAAAGCAACTTAACAAGTTAAAAAACTTAGAAGATAGTACTCTCTTTTTTGTATAATAAAAACAATAAAAAATTTAGAGTGGCTCTTCTCATTTTTAGTATAAAAAAAAAAGTCAAAACATTAATCTCTTTTTTCTTGGCAATCTTATTAATATTGAAAACAATAGAAAAATAGGGGAGGGAGGGAGGGAGAGAGAGAGAGCTCAATTCTTTTTTTTTTAATACAAACAAGAAAGAATTCAATATTTTTATTATTTTAAAATTACTTTTATTTTTCTATTTTCTACCCAATTCCAATTCTAATCTCGAGAATATTAAAGTAATACGATAATATTAGATTCTTCCTTATTTTCTTTTTTGGCAAAATCTAATTTTTTTGTCTCCTTCTGTCCTATCTCCTTTTCTTTAACTAGTATTAATAAGTGTGAAAAAATAAATATGAGAAAATCCTTTTATTTTTATGTTTTTGAATCTCTTAAAGTGAAAAAAAGGAAGAATAACCATTCCAATTTTTTTATTTTAATTATATATATAAAAGGTAAATATATTTAAACATTTTTTAACATACTTTTTAGATTAACGATAGGATAAAATATCTAGAAAATAATGTTAGAGAGTAAAACAATTATATCACCATAATTTAAAGAGATAAAGTGATAATAATAATGTAGCAATGCTATAAAATAAAAGGGTATTTTTGTTAAAATTTTATTAATATGATGAGTTAAATTACCTATAGGGTGACGTGACTAAAAGATAATATTATGGGATAAATTGATAGTAGTGATATAGTTTAATGGGGTAAAATGATAATAACCCTTGTTTTTATTATACAAAAAAGAGGGTACTATTTTCTAAAATTTTTTAACTTGCTAAGTTGATTTAATGGTTGGATAAATTGTCTAAAAAATAACTCTAGTCTCTAGGGGGTAAACTGATAATAAGTTTACAGTTCATGGGGACAAAGTGATAATAATTTTAAACATTAAACATGCCTTATCACTTGGATTAATAAATTCCATTAAGTATGACCGTTAGTCTTAGGGATAAAATGACTAAAAAATAACGTTAAGGAGGAAATTGATAGTGACATTAAACGTTAAAGAGGTAAAGTGATAATAACCCTTTAAAATATTCTTCCTTAATCAATCAAAATTTGCAACAACATTATAAAGTAAGTAGTTATAGCCGGCAATTGTCATCCACGACTAATTGATGTAAGTTTACTGTGTAGAGTACAAATTAAGACTGAAAATCCATCGTAACCCATTGAAAATTGTTTAAAATCCCTCATAACCCAATGAGAAATTTTCATTGGGTTTTAAAGGATTTTGAGACGAAATTCAGAAGTGCATGAAAAATTTACATCACATACACTATTGCTGATAATCGCTAACTACTTAAGTATTGGTGCAAACTTTGTGTGAATAAAGAAGTTTCTGTTTTCAACAAAATAAAGATAAAAGCTAGGAAATAAAAAACTCAAAGCATGGCGAACACAGATTTACTAAACCTAACCTCACCTAACCGGATGATTCAATTGGTCAACTTAGTGATCTTGGATTACTGGTTGGACTGAATGATGAAGGAAATCATTAACTAGTCAATAATTCGTCAATTCAATCTGTAAAATCTAAAATACTGGCCTGTTCAACCAGAAATTTAATAATTATAATATTTTTAGTATTTAAAATATTATATTGTACAATATTTTAGAAACACCGGCTAGATCGATAAATCTATGGTTAAGACGCTAACCTGTTATACCAATGGCCTTGCCGGGTTGATGTCCAGGCCGGGATTAATGACTATGCCAAACACACATTTTTGTTTGATGTAAGAAATAAAATTGTGAAAGAAGGATGAATTGACACTATGTATGCTAATGAGGTGAAGTTGTCTTTTTGTACAAAACCATTGGTTTTGATGGATTACATCTGTCTTGCCTTTGAATCCAAAGCATAAGGATGTTTAAAGTATATTTGCAAGCCACATGGGGGTTTTGAGTTATTTTCCCTTAAAATTTTTGGACGTTTGAAACTTCATGGCTTTACTTTCTATGAAAGAAAATGTAAAAACTATTAATTTTGATATGCATATTTAGATTTTATATCAATTTTATTTCTAATTTATGTGTACATTTAAAAATCAATTGACATATGCATAGAGATTGCCACCAAAATGACCTCCAATTTTTGGGAGTGCATGCAATCGTCATTTTGCCAATATTTACGAGAGATTTACATGATACTGTTTGAAACTTGACTGAAACCCCTTAGAATTCTGAAATGTATATATATTATATACATATAATTATGCCATGCTGTTAATTATATTTATCATCATGTCGTGATTTTTGAGCAGGTGAAATTCCAAACGCCATTGACAATCTCTATAATTTGGAGATACTAGGCATGGAGCGTGCTAATGTGACAGGTAAAAAACTTTTTGACGTGATATCTATTTCATTATCACATCATGAAAAAACTTTTCTCAAACTTAAATTTGAGCTTGAAGTTAAGCGAGTTCAAATACAAATCAAATTGGACTCCTTCTCATACCTCAATTGGTCAGTCATACCATCGCACTGCATAAGCTAAAAGGATTTTGATCAGCTTGATCTCAATATGCTACAGCCTACATCTATAACTCAACTTCAAATTCCAATTGATTGAACTTCAAAAATAGAGATACTGATTGGGGGCTAACAGATGATACAATGGGGAAATAGGAAGATGAGGAAGCACTCAGAGAGAGGGTATAAAGAGATAAAAAGAGTGAATGAAACATTGTCTCAAAATGTTTTGCCATTTCCAAAGTTGTCAATGAATTATACCCTTGAATTTGTTGAGATGCGTCCTCTTTCGTTAAATTTAGGCACTTGACTTCAGATATGTGAGACACAAAAATTTTGCCATTGTCATGCTTTGGTTACTGCTCACCTAGGCAAAAATTCTACAAAATTGTATAGCGGTTCGTACTAATGAATATATATTTTTTATCATAATAATAATATTTATATAACTTATTTTACCCTAATTTAGGGAAGCCTAACCAATGGAACCATAGGTGTACATGGTTACGACAAAATAGTACATAGAAGACACGAATACAATTGTAGGCGTCAAAGTGGCTTCAATCAGGCACATGAGCTGTAAATTTTACCGGGAGACACGAGGCTTAGTACGGGTTGAGAGTAACGAGGTGTGGTTGTGACTGGGTTGTGGGGCCGAGATTGAGTGGGCATAAAGATGATTGAGAGAATTAAAAGTGCGGAGCTTTTGTTATGATGGATAGAGTCGGGGGAGTTACAAAAGCAACTTGTTAGTGGTTGAAGCGGTTGACGAGGACAATTAAACCAATCATGGGTTGAAGGAAAATGATCGTAAATTAATTAAACCAATCATAGGAGAAATGATTATCAATTATTAAATTAATAATTGTAAAGGAGTAAACGTATAGTTAATTAATTAGTTGAGATGGAATATTTGTAGGAGAAATGATACGTTGTTGCTTGATTGTTTATTATATTTGCGGGTATATCTTAAAGAAATTTTTAAAAATGCATTTGTAATGGTATTAGACCAAATTAATGCGAATGAATTGATCACATAATAACCAGAGCGCATATAGGTGAAATTTAATTGGACCACATGTGTCACTTCTAAATTTTCAGCATTATCATCACAATCACTTAATTATACTTTTATCATCTGATTAACCTGTTGCCTATGTATTGTCAACTGACGAGCGCAAGGTATACATATAATAATTAACTCATTCACAATCAAATTTTACATTTATAAATTTCTAAAAATCCCACACGCGATTTTCTACAAGTATACAGGTCGAAATTGAGTATAGGGTATTAAGGGTCAAACCCACAAGGAAGAATGTCAATTATCGATGTTTTTCGAACTCCTTTATTATTTAGACTATCATAAGTGCAAGAAAGTAAATCTACACTATAAACATGAGTAAAAACAATACAAATAACAATAAAAAAACTTCTAGAGGTATGAAATTCCTCACTACTCTTGTAAATGAAACTACCAGTTAATTGAATGCTATTATCTTAATTAGTTATGACATAATTTCCTAATGTATGTAAAACCTACTTTCGTAGTAAATCAACTATACTTGTAACTAAACCATACTTGCTCTTGTGGTTATGAACTTAATTACAAGTTCATTTTTTCTATAAAATTACAATAAATTAAATCACTAGAGCCACATAAGTGCTCCTCTTCTTCCGTAAGTGAATTTCCTAGGTTTATCACTCCCTTGAATTAGTGTCAAATTCTAATTCTCATTGCAAATTTAACACCTTAAGATTATCACAATTAACCGCCGGTTAGTTATGATTAGATAAAACAAAAGTGATAAATAACTTGCTGAAAATAATATAATCAAATAACCAAATAAATATCACTAACAAGATATAGAAAGCCATCCATAACTCTAGGCATAAACTTTAACCAAACATATGGAAAGTAAATACCATACTTGTATTATGACTAAGCATAAGATTCAAATACAAAAGTTAAAGAGTTGAAGAGATGAAACCTTTGCCATATGTGAGCAACATTTTCGCCATCTTCAAACCTCAATCATCATCCTTGCTTAGCATGATACAAGATAGAATAAAACTATATTAACCTATCTAAACTAATGAACTAAACTAATGAATTAAGAAAAACTAGTGAAAACTATATTTTTTGTAGCATATTTAGCTTTCCAAAGTTATCAAAATGTTCTCCAAGGCCTCTATTTATAGAGAAATTCAAGCCACAAATGAGTTGTTTTTAGTTAGCAAAGTTAGCTCTTGAAATCTCCAAAAGTTGCTTCTAAAAGATTCTATGCTTGCTTGATCATTTCCAACCAGATTTGTTGCAAAAAAGTTGGTCAAAAAGCTTGTGCAAATAGAGCACAAGTTACAGAGTAAGTTGCAGTCGCAATTGAATAATACGTGACCTTAAAAACGTGACCCCACGTTTTGCCTTTTTTGCAAGTTTGTTCATTTCTGGTCAATCTTCATCTTTGCTCTATTTTTATTCCAACTTCCACTGATATTTTCTTGATGATGGAGGCTGAACTAACTCTTATACAAAACATGAAAGTTTATTCATTTGAGTCAGCTTTCCAATGCCTCTAGAATCATCCAATTTGGAGCTCTGTAGATTGAGAAATGACCAAAATACCCTCAAATGGTCAAAACTTTATTTCAACTTTTGACAATAGAAATGACTGATTGTATTTCAACATTTTGAGAATGAAATTCATGAACTAGATTTTGATGTCTGCATAAGAAATGCAGAACTATGTGTTAGCTTCAAAATGGCATAAGAATCACCTCAATCCGATACTTGTAACTCAAGATATAGCTAAAATATCAATAGGTGTCAAAGCTGGAAATTTTCCCTTTTTATACTTAATTGCATTTCATCGCTTGCACTTTATATTATCTTTAAAACCACTTCAAATCATTAAAAATCATCCAATTATCTTGGCAACTCACTCCATTTGATGATTAAATCATTAAACCTACAAAAACATGAAATTTTCACCACTTTAATACATAGAAATGCAATTTTTATACTTTAACCATAAAATGCATATCTTTACTAGGAACTTAATTAATTAGCTATAAAAGTGAATAAAACATACCAAAAATAGATAATAAAACACACTTAAATCACTCAAAATATACACTTATCATCAACCAATTCCACAACTAACTTTCACCGATAACCAACCACAAACATTATAATAATATTAAAAAAGCTTTTAAAAGATCAAAGTTTTTTCATTTATTAAAGTTTTATACCAATTTCTTCCATATAAAAAGCGATTTTTTTTTAAATTGCACATAAATTGAGTGTGCCATTTATCACTAGTAGTGCTAATGGTATTTGTACTAATGTATACATGATTGAAATCAAATATTCGTATTGATTAGACTATATAGTGATACAGTTAAGAATATTTTTTTAATAGGTGTAAATACAAAAATATGACTCCTCGTTGTATATTCTAAAAGTAGGACAACAAACAATCTTCACATTTTTTTTCTCACCAATTTGATTTGTCAGGTATAATACCTGAAGAGATTGGTAATCTTAGCAAGTTGGAACTGCTAAACTTGGAGTTGAATAGGTTGAGAGGTCCCATCCCGCTGAAACTTTTCAATAGTTCAACTGTACGACTTATTTCTCTCGCGCAGAATGATTTATCAGGCGAGCTTCCATCAACTATAGGTGTTTTCTTACCCAATCTTGAGGAACTCTACCTTTGGGGAAATGAATTTACTGGAACTGTACTAACATCCATCTCAAATGCTTCTAGGCTCAGAATGCTAGACCTTGCTATGAACCATTTTACTGGTGCAATTCCTTATTATCTTGGAAACTTGAGATTACTGGAAAAGTTTGCTATATGGCAAAATGATTTTTCTGAGAACTCGCTGTCCAAAGAGTTGAGCTTCATCATATCCCTATCAAACTGCAAACATTTAAGAAGGTTGTGGATAGATGACAATCCTCTGAATGGCTTCCTCCCAAAATCTATTGGAAATCTTTCTAGCTCACTCGAATCCATTTATGCCGCTAGTTGTGGAATCATAAGTGAAATTCCAAGTTCGATTGGTAATTTGAGCAACTTGATAGGGCTGGACTTTGCCAACAATAGTTTGATAGGAGTAATTCCAACTACAATCAAATGGTTGTTGAAGTTTCAGATGATGGATCTAACTGACAATCAGATACAAGGAGTTATTCCAAGTGAGCTTTGTATTTTGTTGAACTTAGAAGGATTATATCTGGCAAAAAATAAGCTTTCTGGTGTGGTGCCTTCTTGTTTAGGAAATGTTACAGCACTCAGATATGTTTATCTCAAGTCTAACAATTTAAGTTCTGTGATACCAACAAGCTTTTGGAGCCTTAGAGATATTTTGAAGTTGGACATGTCAGGAAATTATTTGACAGGTTCTTTGCCTGCTGAAATTGGAAACTTGAAGGCATTAGTCTATTTGAACCTTTCAAATAATCAATACTTTGGTGGGATACCTAGCACTATTGGAGGACTACAAGATTTGCAAGAACTCTCCTTTGAACATAACAAACTACAAGGATTGATACCAGATTCCATGAAGAATATGTTGCAGTTACGGCATTTGGATCTATCTTTTAACAATCTAGAAGGTGAAATTCCCAACTCATTACAGGTACTATCAGATCTCTAATACTTTAATGTGTCTTACAACAGATTGAGAGGACCGATTCCTCACGGAGGGCCATTCATAAATTTCACGAACCTATCTTTTCTCTCAAATGAAGCATTGTGTGGCGGTCCTTGGCGCCAAACTTGTACAAGTACATTTCAACATGAATCAAGGACAAAAAGGATAGTCATGATTGTTCTGTTGGCATCAGGTTCGG